GTGCTGCCTCCAAAAAACTGCACGTGCACAGTAAATACACGTACTGGTGGGGTTTTTGGTGTCTGGCCATGAAGTAGCAGATTTGTTGCCACTTAATAGCAGAGTAAAAGAATGAGGAGAGCATTCCAGTCTTATCTGTTGGAGAGAGCAGGGGAGTTTGTGTGCCTGTGACGGCAGCGCTTGGTTATTGATCTACAAAAGGTCTAATACATCTCCGTAACACCCTTTGCATGAAATACAGATGTTGTCAGCTTCAATTAACTGGCAATCTATTATTAATCCTTGCTAGCACCTAGGGGAATCTGGAAAAGGATGTTGGTTTGCCAAGGGCAGCGTTGGGAAAGCCCTGGGTGAGGGCTGTGCCAAGAACTGCCGCTCCGTGGGAAGGTTTTACTGGGCAGTTCAGTGCATCCACAGTTTTCCCAACCCCCACTTGGGCAGCATTGCCACCTCTCCCACCAGGGCAGGGAAAGCCCCAGGATGCAGCTCCAGCCCAGGACTCTTCAGCAGTTGTTGTTTACCTCAGCCCCATGAGGATGGAGGGCCCTGAGCACCTCTCGCCCCCCTTGGGGCCAGCTGGCTCTTTGGAGAGGGGTTTTGGAAGGGGCACTCTCCTCTCATCCTGCAGGGAAAGTTTCCAAGGGAGCTGTCACCAAACCCAGGGAGGTTGTAAGTGCTTCTCAGCTGGCAGGTCCAGTGAGCTCCCCAAAGCCAGGTGGAGGGAGCCCATTTTTTGGGACACTGTGTTCCCTGCCAGGCCCATGTCCCCACTGGGAGAACATCTCTGTGCAATCCCACAACCCCCACAGCCCTTCATTGGAACGTGTGAGCTGCACACAGCCCACAGCTGTGCACTCCTGCACTTGCTGCTTGGGCTCCTGCACTGAAGGCAAAGCGTGGGCAGGATGCACTAGCACAGGGCTCAGCGTGCAGCACGGCAGTGCCTTGATATTGACTTAATCGTGGAGAGCACAGGGAGAGGGAGGGGAGGGTTCCTGGCATACTGAGTGAGTTGGTGCTGCCACCACGTCCCTCCTGCCAGCTCACAGGGTGATGGAACATGTTCCTCCTTCAGGCTGGTAATGCTTCTCATCCCACCAGAGACACAACGTGGGTTTCCCCTTCTGCCTATTTTTAAGCATGCTTTTATATAGAAAGACAAAAATTATGGACTCCTGTTAGTTCCTGGAAATCCAGCAAAGGCTGGGGAAAGAGCCATTCTGAGAAGGGAAGACTGCACAAAATTGTCAGACTGACAAGGCTGGGGCAGTTGGCCAGCGCAGTGATGAGTGTGTTGAGTCTCAGCAGGGATATTGGTGGCTTGGCAGCCCCCAGTGCAAGCCCTGGAGCTGGGCAGGTGTTTTTCAGCACTGTGGATGGTCTTGCACATTTTTGATTGTGCTCCTTTGCACTGACAGACCACTTGTTAACCCTGCAGCTTCACCCAGGCTGTCAGAGCAGGAGAGCAATGCCTGTCTCACAGTGCCAATATTTCACCAGCAGTAAAGGCCCAAGAGGGGAAGATTTTGGGAAGGGAGGAGAGAGGCATGGAGGGAGGCTGAGGGTGGCAGATGCAGCCCTGCTGTGCTGAGCAAGAGGCCCTTCCACATGCCTCTCCTGTGGATTTCACAGGGATGTTCCCTGCCTGGCCTGCTGCTGGCCATCCCTTCAGGCTCGCAGGGAAGTGCTGGCATCGTTCAGCCCGATGGGAAACTCAGCGTGGGCTGGGACACTCATTCTGTGCACCCACTCCAGCAGCACCTAACGAGGAGCCTTTGCTGGGGGAGAATCCCACAGGGACTGCCCAGCTCCTGCCCACAGATCACATCATCCCCTCAGGGCTGCTGAGTGTTTCACAGGCAGCAGATGAGATGAGAGGTGATGTGTGAGTGAGTGGAAGCGGAGCTGCAGCTGCTGCAGTACTTAGTGACCACTCTCAGTGAAGTTTTTCACTGAAACGCTGATACCTGCTTTGTGATGGACTGGTGCTTTCCCATTGTTATTGTCCTTGTCAGTAAAGCTTTAAATTTATTCATGAAGCACGCTGGAGCTCAGGTGGCAATAGCTAAATCCATTTAGCAGTAGGAATAAGAGGAAAGCCATTTTAATGTTCTCTTGCAGTGCTGCAGTACTTAGCAAACCCAAAGGATATTAATTACTCAGCATGCTCCGAGATGTAAAAGCATGAATTTATCAAGACAAATACATTCAGAACTAGGGTAAGTCAACAGTAATTAATGCCATGCAAAAAAGAGACAGAGAAAGGAAGGATTAGCTGGCCCTGTTGCAGGAGAACATGATGTAGCCCTGAGTTATCCCTGGGCTGTATGGAACTGGAGTTGTGGTGAGGCATCTCTAACAAAAAAATCTGCCTGTGCCTGTCACGTATCCCTGGGATGGGGGTTCGGTCCTGGTTCACATTTCCAAGGCAGAATGATGCAGGCAGCCTCTGAAATGCTAAGTCGTGCTTGGCAGCCAGCAACAGCTTTTTTATGCAAAGCCTTTGATGCTGGAAGGCACTTGGGAAGAAGAGGGGCATAGGGCTTTTTTGTTTGCCACTGAATTTGTCTGCACTGTCCCAGTGTTTTCATGGTGTTTAGCAATCATATAATCATGAGCACAGCCAGAGATGAGTGGCAGCTCAAGAGATGAATTGGTAGGTTCTCCTTGACAAATCTAAGCATAACATGTGTCTTTGTACCACATCCATTAGGGCAGACAAATGGAAAATCTGGAGGTGGCTGCTCTGCATTTAACAGTCACAGCATTTGGAGAGGGCTGATGTCTTCCTCATCACCAGTGTTGGGTCAGGCTTGGAAAAAAACAGCAAAAAACAAAGCAATTTGAGCAAACAAGTCTAGCCATGCCTTATTTAAAGGTGGTTTACTCGGTATGGAGTGAGTACAGCCAGTGCTGATTCTTTGTCTCCAGGTCATGGGGATGACACAGATGACTTCAACCTAGAAGATGCCCTGTTTGACCCCGTCACCAGGAGACGTAAGTCACTTTTATGCATTGTTTAAAAGAGGAGAAAACAAATAGGTGCAATTTGTTCTTTGGGATCTGATGCTGGTGGGAGGGGGGGAGAGGATACCACTGCTCATCCTCTCTGCCTGGCAGACCCAGGGTCTGGGTTACAGCTGGGGGCAGTCCTGGAGGAGCTGCCTGCTGCCCTTTGCTTGCTGGCTCCTGTGAGGAGCACAGAGGCACAGCACACCTGTGCTCTGAGGCACCAGTGGCACTGAGCCTGCCCTTCTGGCTTCCTTGCCTGCCTCAGTGCTGCTACCAGCAGGCCTGGCCCTGCTGGCTGGAGCCATCATGCAGTGCCTCCCCCAGCTGGGAGGGCAGCTCGCTGTGCCCGGGCAGGCAGGGGCAGTGCCAGCTCCTGCCCTGCTGCCACTGAGGGTGGTGCCCAGGAGAGCACACGGTGCCCGAGGTCACTGCTCTGCCTCACTGGGGTTCCACTGTAGCCTACCAGGCAAAGGAAACTCACTTCCTCAGGGCTGCCCCACTGCTGGCATGCAGCACTCGGTATTTTGGTGTTTTACAGCCCAAGGACAAAACCTGACTGCCAGCACAGCAGCTGAGGGGTGGGAGGAGGCTCATCTCCCTCCCTGGGAGATGTCACCTGCCTTACCCCAGTGAAAAGGCTGTGCCCAAGGCCACACACATCTCTGGCTCCATTTGCTGCCCAGCCATGGAGATGCTGTGGCAGAGCTGCAAATGCCAGCACCCAGGACCCCTCACTGCCCAGCACTCCCCAGGCAGTTCATGGTGGCTGTCCCCAGACCCAGCACCTAGCAGGGATTGCTCCGTGAGCGATGCCAGGCTCTGGGATCAGGCAGAACATACCCACATCTATGGAAGGGAAAGCTGTAACAGTGTTTGCCACCTCTTGTGCTCTAGTCTAACAACAGAGGGACACTCATGCTGTGTTACTTTGGAGTTTATGTGGAATAGAGGGTGCTCTCTGCAGCTCTCCTGCATAGGATAGAGCATGGAGTATCAGACTTGGTCACAGGGCTGATGCAGCTCATCTAGAATTTTGCAAAAGCCCTTTAATGCAGCATGTGAAGAGAGCTGGTTAGAAATGACTGATGAGCAGCTCATGTGGAGGGAAAGTGGTGTTCTCCAGGCTGGAGTCCCTGCAGTGAGGGAAGGGAAGAGGCAGCACTGTCCCCATGGCCTCCCCACATGCTGCATCCCACTCTGCATTCGTGTCAGCCCCAGAAAAAAACAAACCAAGGGTCTGGAGTTGGGTCACATCAAACCATACCAGCACACTGGAAATGAAGCCCAGCAACACCACTCCAGTCTCATGGAAATTAATGGGAATGGATCAGCCACAGCTCTTGCTCATAATTTATTCATATACTTGGTAATGCCAGCCACTATTAATAGGCAGTGGTTTCCATATTGCTCCCTCCCTCCCCCCTCAGTGGCTGGCTGTAGCTTGTTTTAGCCCAGGAGCAGCCAGGGGAGGCTGGGATCTGAGTATCAGGGTGTCACTGAAAGCCCTCCAGCTGACAGGGAACCTCCTGTGCCCAACACAGCACAGGAAATTACCTGTCACTGGTCTGCCTGACCAGCCAGGGACAGCAAAGCATTGGCACCTCACTGCTGGTTTCCACACTGTTGTGTACAGTGTCTGCCCTTCCTGCCTGCTGCTGGATCCCAGAGCCTTGGGGCAGATTGCTGCAGCTCCCTGCTCTCCACCAGCTGGGTGGGATGCTGGCTCAGCTCAAGGTGGAGCACTGGGCTCCATTTTCACCCATGGGCTGATCCCTATGGCCACACATTGTGTGCAGGGTGTTTGTGACCCTCTGCCCCGAGTCTGCAAATGCAAATGTCACAAAGCTGTGGTGAAATCTTTGCCATTCATTCTCAGTCCAGAGGTGACATTTTTGGTGATGCCTATGACTAACAGTTTTCCTCCCCATCTCTTTTGTCACAGCCACTCCCAAGGGTCCCAGAAGGCCGGCAGGTGGGACAGGTGAGACCTTGCATGCACATCATCTCAGTCAGTGTGGTGCACTTCCCATGGGCTGAACTGTGTGAGCCCCAAGGGCTGCCCGTGTGGGGCTGAGTGCTGCTGCCTCAGCAGCTGCTTTGGGACCCCTTCACTTGCCCATAGGGGCTGGTGTGTGCACCTGCACTGTTGCTGTGTGGCCAGAGAAATGCAATATTGATATTTCTGTCCATGCTGAGGGTGAGTGGCAGCGGAGCATTTACAGCCAAGGCAGGATTTCGCACACTTTGCAGTACCCTAATGGAAAAGACACAAATCACTGCTCAGCTACACAAGAGCTTTTGTTCCTGTCTGCATGGCACCTGCTAGCTTTCCTTCCAAGAGAAAGTCTAGAGGATATTTTCCTTCCTTTTTTTATTCCAAGATATCCCCAGCCTCCACAGAAAGTGCCATTTTGGTGACACTTCCCCATCCAGGAGAGAATGAGTCTCTTACTGTTGGTGCACGTGAAATGTGCTGTCTGGCCAGCTCCCAGCAGTGCCACGGTTGAGGAAGCTCCCTTAAATTCACACGAGTTCTGTTGCCAGCAGCTCCTCTGGCTCAGCTTTGGCCAAAGAGTCCTGTTAAATATAGCACAGTCACAGGAGCTGAAGGGTTGCTCAGTCCCGCTGGAGGAGCCTGCAATAAACTGCATCAGAGGAGTGCTAAGTAAATCCACTCACCCCTGCATGAGGATCTTGGCACAAATTTAAGCCAATTCAACTGTATGGCTCCTTGGCCACCATGGTCTTTGGTAGGGACAAGAAAAGCCAAGTGCCAGAGGCACATGCAGCCCTACAGTGCTTGGATCACAGCCTGAACGAGAGGTTGTTCCATCCAGGGAACTCCCCCTGGGAGATGGACACATGTGGAGGCTGAGGCTTTGTCTCAGCCAGTTGCTTTTTCCCCAGGGAGTGTTTTTTGGATGAATGATAGCACTGAGAGGCTCCTGCAGTAGATTCCTGTGCCCTGGCCCCTCTCTGTGCATGGCCTGCTCAGCCCAAGGTCACTCATGGGCAGCTGCACAGGGAGCAGTGTCCCAGCCACTGGCTCAGTTCCACGGCCCCTTCTCATCCCCCCAGCTCTCAGGAGATGCTGCAGGTACCAGCAGGACTCCCCCAAAAGTGAATTACTTTGGGATTGCTGGGGCTGGGCAGCAGCCACAGCTTGGATGGGGAGACAGAAACAGTGGCCAGGCTTTTCTGAATCTTTGTGATAGGTCAGGATTGAGCAGCAGAGTGGCTGGATGCCCTTTCCAACTCTAGCCTGACGTGTGTGGGAGGCCCTGGCAATGGTGCAGCACCATTGCACAACACCCACAGAGCAGGGTGTGTGCCAACAGCCTTGTGCTGTCCCCACAAACAGGAGTGTAACAATCCCTTCTCTCCTGCAGACTTCGATTTGGCTGATTACTTTGACACGCCTGTGGAGACTACCACCAAGGCAGCCAAGCCAACTCCCAAGCCCTTCCCCAGGCCAGGGAAGCCAGGTAATGCAGAGCTCCCTGCAGGTCCAGCCTCCCCAGGGCCCCCAGAGGGAGGGTGCCCCCGTATCAGCTGGAATTGTGTAAAGACCAGAGCACTGAGCTGGCCCTGGGCAGCCCCAGTCTCCCAGCAGGGTGGGGGTGTCCCCACACAGCACTCATCTGAACCCACCTTTCAGAGGGCAACAGCATTTTGGTCTTTTTTCTTTTCCTTCCCTTCAGACAGTGGCCTTTGGGATGTCATTCGCACCACCACGACCAAGCAGCCAAAAACTACAAGAGCCCCTCCTAAACGTAACCCAGGTGAGCATCATCTCCACAGCCCCTGCTGCTGGCACAGGGGGAGGATTTGGGATGTGCCAGGATGGTGGCACTGCCCTTGTCCTGCTATTTCTAACCTCTGTTTGCTCACCTGAGACACCTCGAGAAAAAACAAATACCAAAAACCATGGAGAGGACAGGACATCTGAGCATTACCCTGTGTTTCCCAGGGGACCTTGGTGGTTTCTGGACCATGCTTCATTCCCATGCTCACTGGAAGGCACCTACAGGCTCAGGGCACCCTGTCAGCTGAGCATTTTGCTGCCTGCCCAGGCAGGGTTTTGGTTTGAATCAGAACAAACTCAGCAGAGCACGGGTGGGAGGGCTGAGGAGCTCAGTGGGCTCTGTACTGGGCTTTTAGCTGCTGTTTGTCAGAGACAATATCCTCCGTCACCCAGGCAGCTCAAGGGACCAGCTGGGCATTCACAGAGGAAAATAACTCCAAGGAGTCAAGCCACAGGCTGTTCCAGCCAGCACGTGAGCATGGTACAGCCACCTCCCTCCCTTCCACTGCCTGGGCCCTTGGGGCACCAGTTTGCCTCTGACTTTTCCTACCCCTCCTTTATCTGATTGCCTGGCACTGCAGCCATGGGGACCCTGTTCCTGCAGGAAGGACATGCTATTCCCCACCAAAGCTGTGTGGGGGAGTGGAACAGGATGGGCTTGGAAGATGTGCCATGAGGCCCCATAGCAGAATTGGGAAGTGCTTGTGTCTGGAGCTTCATCTCTTTCAACAGTGTTTTTCCCTGATTAATTAATTAATTGCAGAGTTCCTCATCCTATCACCACATTGCTAACCCTGGTCTTGTTTTCTAGAAAAGGATCCTATGGATTTTGACTTGGCTGATGCCCTTGATGATAAGAACGATAGGAAAGATCCTGGGAGGCCGGATGTAAGGCCAGGTGAAGGTAGGCTGACCTCTCCTCTCTGTCCTGCTTGCTACCAGCCCTGCTGTTCCTGGGGCCTGCAGGAGATCCTTCCCAGCCTGACACCATTCCCCCCAAGGGATGGGATAAATACAAACAGGTGCTGCCTGGTGCAGTGTCCTGTCCACTGCCCCTGTCCTGCCCGCTCAGAGCGGGGACATTTGCACAGGCAGCTTGGTCCTGGGGAGGGAAGGAGCCTCTTCCTAACAACTTGCTCTGTGTCTGTGTGCAGGTTTTTTCCCCCAGGGTCTCTTCTGATCCATTAAGTTGCAGTGGTGGTGTTGAGTTCCCCCATCCCCAAACCCAACAGCTCTTCAATGGAGCGCATGGGCTGTGGGGCTCACACTCCCTGCCAAGGTGAAAAGTTAGAGCAGGCTCAGGTCCTGGCCTGACACACCCTGTGGGCTGGGAGGGTGGGAGGGATCTTTTTCCATCTCTGAAGTACTCTGGTGAATGAATCATTTGTCTGTGAGGATTGTTCCCCTGAGCACTTGAGCTGGGAAGCAGACTTTGCACGGCTGGTTTATTGATGTTGGGATGGCTGTACACCCTGCTCACACGCCTAATTAACAGGCAGGTATTTTATTACATTGTATTAACTAGGTGACTTGTCTGCACTTTGGTATTCTGGGCTTGCTGAGTTTTCAGGCTCCTGCAGGAAAGGTGGAGGTGTTGAACTGCTGGAACGTGGCACTGGCCACAAACCAGCACACACATTCCCCCAGCTTTGCTGCTCCCTGGACTGCCTGGGACCTCTCCAGGCTCTGGCATAGTCAGGGCTTTCATTCTTTTCACACTCATTACTGAGCCCATAAATCTGGTTTTTGTGGTAAGCTGATGAATAAGGCAGTCTCTTCCAGTTAAGGCAAAGGAAATCCTTCCCAATGCACAGCATCAGAGGAGGAGCCTTTTGCTGCCTCTGCTCCCATCACTCACCTTGCTGCACACCCAGCTCCCTCTGGGACTGCAGCTGAGACCTTCAGCAGCACCACTCATTCAGCTGCAGGTCCACAGACCCTGCTTCTCTGTACTTACCCTGTAATTAATTAGACTTGCCCACTACAAGATAACTTTTTCATGTGTACAAAACGTGTTGGTGCTCAGTTTTTCCCCCGGACTGTTCTGTCCCTGTGGGAAGGATAAGGGTCAGCTCCTGCCTGCAGGACCCCAGGCCCAGGTGGTTCAGTCAGAGACTCACTGATCCACAGCAGCATGGTCATGGCAAACACAAACCACTTCTTCCTGCCTCCTCCACTCCCAGCCAAGGCTGACCACCAAAACATTTAATGAACTTTTAAATGATCAGTCATTTGTGATTTTCAGTCATCCTCACTCCTAAAAATCACTCATTTCAGTTAAAAACTAGTCAGTTATTACCTCTTCTATGACCTTAAAGTAATTCAGTGTTAACATCTGGTAATTGTAAGAGAAGCAGTACTACTTTTTGACCAGTCCTACTGCCCAAGGGGGGATGGAACAGCCCCTGATCCCAACCTCTGGCACAGCTGTGGCTCCCTCAGGTGCCAACCACTGTTTGTTCCCATTCATTTTAAAGGATTTTCAGATGATGACCTGGCCAGCATTGTGGATGGTGGCTACAGCCCAGACAAGAAGAAGGGTGAGTGGTGACCTAGGTATGGTTGTTTTCTTTAGCAGTCATGGCTCAGGGTTACCTCCTGCCCCAAAAAGGGCCTTTACAGACCTGTGCTCACCTCCAGGGTGGGAGCAAATGGGGTCTGAGCCATGGAGCCAAGGGAGAAGTTCTTGGCTTCTGTGGTCACACCTGGTGCCAGCCATTGGAGATGTTTGGTTTTGAGTCCATGGAGGCTCTGCAGCTCCAGCTGCCACCAGGGCAGACAGGACCTGTGTCTCCCCATCACCTCCAGGGCACCCTGGTGCCATGCATGGCTACATGCCTTCATTTGCTTTTCCCCACATACCACCAATGGCTGGAACAAAGGGGAAATCCAACAACAATCGGATAAGCCGTTCACAAGGCTCCACAGCATTAACATTAAAAGCAGTCACATAAAGAGCTGAACACCATGAGCCTAATCAACATTTAATAAATCCCTGTGCCAAGGACAAGATGCATCAGAGGCATTAATACAGTGCTGACCTGCTTCCATAAATTCAGGATGTAAGTGACTCGGCAAGGACTGCAGCTTCCAGTGGGAGCAGCTTCTCCTCCCAGCCCAGATTCTCCAGGGAAGGTGATGGCAAAATAGACTTGAAGCCAACTGAGGGTTCCCTGACATGATGGAGCTCAGCCAATGATGTCACCTCCCTGTGATAGCACCCATGTGCTGTGTAACACTCTGACAGCCCTTCAGGTGTTCCCTGACACGGAGCAGGGGAGGTGTGAAAGGTGGGGGTGAGGGTAATTGTCACACACAGGCAGAGGTGTCCCATGCAGAGGATGCCCCATGCACACCCAGAGGGAGAGGAGCAGCTTCAAAGCCCTCAGAAGCAAAAACCAGCAGTGCAGTGGAGTGTGGGGCAGCAGAAGTGCTGCAGCATGGAGGCATCTGCCCAGCCCCAGGCCAGGGCTGCCCTGCCACCCCTCTCCTGTGTGTCCCCTCCCTCCCAGCCCAGCAAAGCAGAGCACAGGGGCAGAGGGGTGCAGGGGCACTGACGGGATTGTGTCTCTGCAGGTGCCAGTGGCAACACCGACAACGACTACAGCGGAGGTGGGTGTGCCAGGGCTGCTGAGGAGGGAGGGCTGCTGTGAGGGGTGCCCATCACGAGCTCTGTCTGTGCCCCACAGTGGCAGAGACCGGCACCATCGCCGGCATCGCCAGCGGCCTGGCCATGGCGCTCATCGGGGCTGTCTCCAGCTACATCTCCTACCAGCAGAAGAAGTTCTGCTTCAGCATCCAGCGTAAGTCCTGCCCCAGCACCCACCTGGGCCCCACTGCCATTGTCCCCCCAGAGCCCCCAGCTGGCAGCACAAAGCCCCAGGTCACTGAGCCCCCCATGTCAGGCCTTGCACAGACAGGACCCCACCAGCAGCAGCCCCAGGAGCCATTGCCACCCCTGGGGTTTACACTGCCCCTCACACAAACACAGCTGCAGACCAAACCATCAGTACCAAGCACAGTAAATATGAAAAAAAAAACAAACATCCCACCCCAAAATAAACAAACCAACACCCCCCCCAAATCTCAGCAAGCAGTAAAAACTCACTGGGATGCAGGGAAGGGAACAGGGGCAGTGTCTGCACCTGGGGCTTCAGCCCACTACACCCTCAGCAGGTATGTGAAAATCATTGTAGTAAACTGCAAATTAAGCTGCAGAACTTACCTTAAAACACCTTTTGCACGAGCTGCCCCTTAAAGCTGCTTGGTGCAAGCATTGCAGGAGAGTCCTCACAGCCTCAGCCCACAACACTCACCTGACCATGCTGGGCTCCTGCAGCTCTTTATGAGAGGGAAGTTACAAGCAGCTGAGTTACAAGCTTTTTTTTTTAAATTAATCAATTGAAATCTCCTGTGAGTCCCATTTGCTCTAAGGAAAGGGTGTTTGGGGTTGGAAATTTCTGTTGGGATCTTGCTATTTTCCCAGTTGTGCCTGAAACAAACAGCATTTTCGTAAATTAGATCAGCAGGAAAAGTCAAATGAATGTGATGGAATGAAACACTCTTGTATATCCCCCCCACTTAAATGATATTTTGGCAAGAAAAAATAATAAAAAAAATGGAGTAAAGGCTTTGATGAGGAGGAAGCTGAGAGACACAAAGCCCCAGAAAGGCAGCAGGAAATTAAAGTTAATTATAAAGGAGGATTAATTTAAGCCATCAGACATGGCATGCTGGGCTAATGTCAGGCCTTAGATGCATTGCAGTGCATGACAGAAATCTACGAGTTGTCAGCCTCTGCTTTTTATTGAAAAATATAAATTCCATTTGCTGTTATTCCAGCAAAACACGTCTGACCACTCACTTGACACACGGAGGAACAGGCTTGGTTCCTTCTCTGTCCTTCAGCTTTGAGTCTGTTCCGAGGAGCACTTGCTGCTGATTCCTCTAAGGGAGATGCACAGTGCTGCCCAGGACTCTCCATCCCACTCCCTTTTCTTGCACCTCACCTGGTACTCGCCAGCCGTGCCCCGGGGTGAGGCTCAGCCCTTGCTGTGCCTGGGCAGGGGCAGCTGTACCTCCCCTGCCTCCACAGCTTGGCCAGCCACTGCCTGCAGTGTCCCTGCTGGCCTGAGGGCTTTATGGGGGTTTTCTAGCCAGCTGCAGAACCCCTTTCTCCTGTGTCTGGAGGTAGCAGCTGTCCCATTGCTGCCCAAGGCTCCCCCCACACTCCTGTGGCCTCTAAGGGAGATGCACAGTGCTGCCCAGGACTCTCCATCCCACTCCCTTTTCTTGCACCTCACCTGGTACTCGCCAGCCGTGCCCTGGGCTGAGGCTCAGCCCTTGCTGTGCCTGGGCAGGGGCAGCTGTACCTCCCCTGCCTCCACAGCTTGGCCAGCCACTGCCTGCAGTGTCCCTGCTGGCCTGAGGGCTTTATGGGGGTTTTCTAGCCAGCTGCAGAACCCCTTTCTCCTGTGTCTGGAGGTAGCAGCTGTCCCATTGCTGCCCAAGGCTCCCACCACACTCCTTTGGCCCTGGCACCATTCCCTGCCTCCCTCCTTCGCTGGGAGACACCAGTGAGCCCTGTCCAGACTTGGTGGTGAGGCACAGCCAGTACCTGCCACACCCTGAGCTATAGTTAGATGTGCAAACAAGTTACAGAGGCCTAAGAAGTGTGTGCTGCATGGCCTGATTGCCTCAGGCTTCATTTGCAGACCAGCACCCAAATCCCCTTCCCTGGTCCTTCTCCAGTGGATGCAACGGCTAGCACAGCACTCCCACCTCTGCCTTTCCCCACAGCTGTCCCTCAGAGGAGCTGCTGAAGGTGCCTGAGATCTGTGGCACACCCCAGACTGTCTTAATTCACCTCCAGCTCTGAGCTGGGCCCCCTTCCTGCTGCCCACCCTCCTGCAGCCACCCCTGCCACCAGTGCCCAGCCTTGCTCCTTGGCCTTGGCTCCACTTGTTGATAACGTTGGGAACTTCTTTGCATTTAAATAAGGGACTTACTCGGGATTTGACACCCCACTGGGATCCTGCTTCATCACCACAGCCCTGCTCTGAACTGCTGCTTGAAGCTCTGCATAACTTAGCTTTTAATGAGGCTGTGGCACATCTCTGTGCTGAGGCACACAGCAGTGCTGTCCGGGAAGCCTTCCTCCCTTCCCCTCCCGCACTCCTCAGAGCTCAGCTCCTTAGACAGGAATTAGCTGGGCTGTCTCTCGTGATAAAGATGAAGCAGCAGCCTCAGACAAAAGAGCTGCTGCTGGAGCTGTGCCTGCCAGGAGCTCCGTGGGCACTTTGAAACCCAGCAAGTCTCAGCACTGGCTCTAAGTTACCGAGGTTTCTGTGCTGCTGTCACTGAGAGGAGGTTTCACAAAGGTGTCTCAGCTTTTACAGCTCTGTGCCCATTACCAGAATTTTTAAGGCATCAAAGCAAATAATTTCACTTTCTACCCTTCCCATCTCACTGTGTTTATTGTACTTCTCAGAGGGACTGAACGCAGAGTATGTGAAAGGAGAAAACATGGAAGCCGTCGTAAGCGAGGAACCCCAGGGTGAGAGCCTTGCATCCCTTACCCCTGCCCACATCCCTCCTCACAAACAGCTCTGCCGGGGCACTTCCTTAAAGTCCCGGTGCTGCACGGAGCTGCTGTGTCCCTTTGATGATGGCACTGCTTAGGTGATGCTGCAGCTTTTGTAAAACACCCACCACCGTGCTTTTACCCCTTTACTGCACACAAAGGAAAGCCTGGAAAGAGCCCAAGGAGCTCTGCTGCAAACGGTGCAGTTAACATTTAGCTTTCATGTCACCAGCCACTGAGAGTCTTGCACAAGACAAGCATGATCCTTCTTTCAGTGACAGACAATCAGAGCTGCTGCAAAGGCTTTTCCAGTGTCACACACAATCAGCCAGTGCTTGTGCCCTGGTTCCATCGTGTGCTATTGTACTCATGGGTTTTTTTCTTTCTCCCCAGTTAAATATTCAGTCCTGGAAACGCAGTCAGCAGAGCCACCAAAACAAGACAGTGCGAAGATATAAAGCGTGACCCAGGGCTAGAAAATAATCAGTCAGCAGCAACAGAGATCTTACGTGCTTGTAATTTAGCTTTTAATTTAATTTGACTCCAAAGCTATTTAATGTGTATTTAGGCTTGAACTGGCTTTTTATTGCTCTAGGCTTTAGGGTTAGACTGGTAGCATGTGTTTATTTTTTTGTGAAGAGGTTTATGTTTACATGGAAGTAGTAGTGTAGGATTGGTGTGCAGTTGGATGGAAATCCTCAGAAGGTACTTCAGCTGTGGTCAGTTTTCAAGAGCTTACAGGTATGAGGACAGTGAAGTGCCTGTAAATAGCAATCCAAAGCCAAACCCTGCAAAGCGCCTCAGCCACCTTCTGCCTTCAGCTCCGGGCAGTGTCACTTCCAAGGTGGGGACAAAGCTGCACATTTCCTGAGGGTGGATTGCAGTCCTCCGTGTAGCTACACCTAAAAATGAAGTGCCTAAGGTGGGTCCTCGTGTGGGGCCTTGGGCTGAGCCAGGTGACTCCCTGCTCCCAAGCCAGGAGTTGAGGATACTTCACCACCACCACCCAGCGCTCGGCTTTAACCAAAGGACCTGATTTTCACACCAAGTCACAAATGCAGTTGATAGTAGTGTGTGCAGTGTTCACTTCCAGCAAATGCCATTGCAGTGCCCCACTGTGCTGCAGAGCAGAAAGGAACTGCAGTGATACAGTTTGTCTTAAGCTGCACCAGGGGAAGTTCAGGTTAGACAGCAGGAAAAAACTCTTCACTGAAAGAGTGACTGGGCACTGGAATTGTCTGCCCAGGGAGGTGGTGGAGTCACTGTCCCTGGACTTGTTTAAAAAAGACTGGATGTGCCACTCAGTGCCATGGTTTAGTTGATGAGGAGGTGTTAGGTTAGGTCATAGGTTGGACTTGATGATCTCAAAGGTCTTCTCCAGCCTAATTCATTCTGTGATTCTGTCTCTGTGACTTGAGATACCTACATTGTCACCACAATTAAAGCTGTGTGCATATGGATGCTTTCAAGGACAGGTTCAGATCTCAGTCACACCTAGAACAAGTGACTGATTTAACCCAAAAGAAAATAAACAAAGCAGGTATCTGTTAAGACCTGTAATGCTCAGTACAACTCATCTCAAGCTTAACAAGATGCAGTCCCAGTCCCCTCCTTCTTTTATCAGCAACTGTCAGGAGTGCTCCCAGGCACCCAGAGGCAGAAAAAGGATTTAAGCTTCACTCTTTGTGTCACTGGCTAACCTTTAAAATAGGCAGTACCTCCTGAGAGGACAAATCCTCCATCACTGTCCTGCATGGGGTTCCTGCAGCTGCCTGGAAGCACTGGGCTGTGAGTGGTGCTCAGCAGGACACTGGGCTGCACTGGGACACTGCACACGCAGCCCCTGCCACGCTGCTGAACCACTGCCTAGACCCAGCCTTCACTGTCTTGCAACAATTTCTGTTTAGATTTCTAATCCCTCCCCAGCAACCTTTCTGACTGCTGCTAAAATATGGATAACTGCCACTTTCCAGTACATTTTTCCAAATCAATGATTGCTTCAAAAGCATGTTCTCAAGTGAAGGAAATGTCACTTTACGTGGTGTAAGAAGTACTCACTATTTATATATAAACCTGAAATGTGAGCATTCTGTATGGGTTTTTTGCAAATTCTGTATTTGATGAACATGTATTAAGAAAACCAAGGCTTTCAGTAAGATGTACAAATTCACAGCTTTCAGGTAGACTTGACTTCCAGAAGGCCTTGCCAGGAGGTGAAGGAGCCCAGGAGCATTGCTGTCTAACAGCTCCATTTGGAATGAAATTGCCTAGTAACTTGGTTAAGTATTTTGCAATAGCTGCACAATTCTTTATGCTCTTTTTAACACTTGCATTCTTAAAGCCTTATACTAGCTCTGGCAGAACAGCTACAGTGGTTTATAAGGTGCCTCACAACTATTCAGAATGCTTAGGCTACAACAATACTACTCTGAACTGCTGCTTTGTTTTATGAATGTCTGGAATAGGAAAGAAATGTTAATTATTGGCTCAGATAATGGAAGCACAAGAAAGAGATGGGATACACTGTTTGCTTACTCCCACAGAAAAGTTTTCATGGAATAAATGTGGTCTGCAGAATTTGCAGCAGGAGCTCAGGTGCCATCTAAGCCACACGGCTGAGTTTGTGTATCTGCAGTCCCAAGCACCAGCACTTGTTTTTGTTCTTACCCAAACACATTTGAAGCTGTAGCATGAAATGTCTTCTGTAAGCTGTTGTAGATGAAGTGTTGCAGCAGGGCATTGATGATCACTAGAAGTTGTTTGCCCAGCTTAGATCCAGTGCCCATAATTCCTCCTCCCACTTTGCCAGTGACTGTCAGTAGTCAGTGTGGTTTGAAGAGTTCAGCACCTACCCCTCCTCTGGGGAACTCTTCCACTGGGGCACAGAGGGAGCACAAGTCTAATTCTAAATACTACAGGTCACAAATTTAACAAGGAAAGGCAGCAAGCTGTTTTACTGGAAAACCCACCTCAGTTTTTGGGACTGAGAAGCTGCTGCTTTTGCTTATAGTCTCTTCTATAAGGCTGGTGACTACTTAAAACTTAGTGTAGTTTGTAGGTATGTGGAAATCCATAAATGCACAGTGAAAGAGAACACTTCCAAAGTGAATAGTGACAGAATTCAAGATTTCTCTAGGATTTCAAATAGGAAAATACTTGCAAATTCTGCAGTAGAGAAATTAGGCTTGGCCTTCAAAAGTGAACAAAAGTCAGAGTCTTGGTGGTAAATGTCAGCAAAGGCTAAATTTCTTTTTTTATTGCTGTTTGTCCCCTCTTCCATCTGAACTGCCACCAGTCTCTGAAAAACAGGGAGTTTATATCATCTATATTTTAGGCATTATAGCAACTGAGAGGTTTCCTGTGTATTTTCCTAGCAGTGATCCAAGTTCTGGTACAGCTGACCCAGCACTGACCTCTACTTTCATTTAATTACTATTTATTCACTTTAAATTGGGATATGGATTTTTAAAAAATCCTGCATTTAAGCTCTGTATACATGGCATGAACTTTCTCGTCCTTTATTAAAAAAGGCAATAAACCACTAGAAAATTGGTTTGCTGTTTTTTTTTCCATGTCCAGTCCAAAACCTATATATAAATGTCCTGAGAGTTTTTGTACTATGTATGCT